CTTTCCCTAGCTGTGGCAAGCCCTCCTTTGTTAATCATTTTTAGCCTTTTTTTGGACCAGGTTGAAGAAACTCCCCATTCCCTGAACACTGACTAGAGCAGAAAATGTACTGTGCAAAGTTATGTGCACCTTCTAGGGACAGACTCACTGTTCCATTTCTTTTCTTTCTTATTTTTGTTTGCTACCTACAGCTGGGACCTTGGGCCACACCTGCATACTATCTGATTTTTCTTCATTAGGCTAGATATTTCCTATAATCTGGACATGTTTTAGTTCTCTCTTCATCTGCCCTACCTTATTGTGTTCTGAAACATCACCCCATCCATCCAAAATGCTGTACTGCACCCCTTGCTACACTGGCCACATTGCACACAAAGGACTTGGAGAAATAATGTTTACAGTGCTTTACACCAGTGGAACCAGCCTTTGTGCTGATGCAAAAGGGAACAGACAATGCAATCCCTAGCACTAGCGTATTTTGCTAAAATCTGTTGTAGAATTACCTAGGTGCTGGGAGGGAATCAGAGGTAAAAATACTCCAGTGTAACATATACTGGTGTAGGCTTTCTCAATCTACTTCCATTCTCCTCAGTACAACTGTAATTACCTGCTCCTGCATTACCCAGTGGCAAGGTGCTGTAATATTGCCTACTGGTATCCTAGAATAGCTTCATACCTGTCTACCTGAATCCAAGTTTAATTTATACCACTATACAAAATGAACATATTTACACTTGTGTCATCTGTCCACAGTCACAGATTCACAACCTGTTCCTTGAAAATATGCGCTGGCTCCCTCTCTCCTATTGTATCATATTCAAATACCTAACCTCAGAAGCTCTGCTGTCTCCCAACACTCCCATGCTTGGGTCCTGTGCTCTGCTGAGATTTCTCCTTCTGATATTTCTTTTGTGTCCTTCCACACATACCTCCTTTCCTCTTTGCAGACCCTGTGTTGGGTCTTACACAGCAACTTCCTTTTAACCCCTCCTGCAAATATATTTCCTTCAGCTCTTCCCTCTTTGTGACCTATCTTCTTCATTCAGCATGATAAATATTGAATTATTTAAATAAATATTTAAACAACCCCCTCCCCAAAGACTTCTAGAATGCGATGGATACAAGTAAAATAGTAACCAGAATAAAACTCCTGTTCCTCATCCCAAACCTCTAATACCATCGCCATTTATATTTTGTCATGCCTTATCCAACCTAGATTGTAGGATCCTTGGGAAAGGGTCTTCCCTGATACCACGAGCATTGTATGACCATTAGGGCATGCGTAGACAAAATGGGGGTTTACTTCACCCTAAATTGAACTGGTGGGTTTTTAAAAATACCATTTCAATTTAGGGTGAAGTAAACCCCTGTGTTGTGTACACCTATGTCTTACCTGCCTCTCTGGTGGCGGGGAGGGCAGGGTAGCTGTCAGCAGTTGGAGCAGTCCCTGGGCTGTGGGGGTGGGGCTGGTGCTTCCCTCTGTGGCAGTGGCCGCCCCCCCTGAGGTGGCATCCACCCACAGGCACCCATCTCGGGCAGTCCCAGGGGACACTGCAGCTGTGGAGGGAAGGACTGGGTCCCAGCACACCTCATGCAGGCAGGCATGCTTCAGGGGGAAAAAAAAGAGAAAGATCAGGCTCAAGGCTTTTTTTTTCTTCAGTGGAGCCTGCCTTTCCGGACTGCTGCCAGGCTGCCTACACAGGCTGTCTGCACAGCCCCTGAGCCGCACGGAGCCCAGTGAACACACCTTCAGAGGTTTCATAGTTTCATAGTATAGTTTCATAAAGCTAGGGTCAGGAGGGACCTGAACAGATCATCTAGCCTGACCCCCTGCCAAAGGCAGGAATGAATGCTGGGTTTACAAGACCCCAGACAGGTGATCATCCAACCTCCTCTTGAATTTGCCCAAGGTAGGGGTGAGGATCACTTCCCTGGGAAGTTGGTTTCAGATTTTGGCCACCCTAACTGTAAAATATTGCCTTCTGGTCTCTAACCTAAACCTATTCTCCATCAGCTTATGACCATTGTTCCTTGTCACACCAGGTGGTGCTGGGGAGAAAAGGGCTCTGCCTATTTGCTGTTGATCTTCCCTGATGAGTTTGTAGGCAGCCACCAGGGCCCCCCTCAGCCTCCTCTTGCAGAGTCTGAACAGGTTCAGGTCCTTCAGTCTCTCCTCATAGGGCCTGTCCTGCTGCCCTCTCACCAAGCAGGTGGCCCTCCTCTGAACCCTCCCCAGGCTGGCCACATCCCTTTTGAAGGGTGGCACCCAGTACTGGACGCAGTACTCCCACTGCGTCCAGTACTGGGTGTTTTAGTTTGTTGTCCCCTAAAATCATTTAAGGCGCATTACACCGCAGAATGCGCTGCAGCAGCTGGAATTAATGCGCAATACACATCCAACACTTGCAAACACTAACACCATTAAAGCAGTACAAAAGCATTTAACCCACTTTGAAGTGTCGTGCACACATGCCCCACATTTCAGCTTCGGACTTCCTATGTCATCATTACTGGAAAGAAAGGATGTGGCTTGAACAGTAGGCTAGGATTCAGGAGGCCTAAATTCAGTCCCCAGTTCTGCCACAAATGCCCTTGCGCAAAATATTCAAACTTCTCTGTAAAATAGGGATAGCACTCCTTCCTTTCAATTTCTCACTCTGTGTCTGGTATATTTAGATGACTATAAATTCTTCAGAGCAAGGTGTCTCTCTCTCTCTCTCTCTCTCATGTATTTGTACAGTGCCTGGCATGATGAAGCCCTATTGTCAGCTGGGAGCCTCCTGGTACAATTGTAATACAATAAATACATATCTGGTTCTCATCAATGTATCAGATTATTGGAAAAGATAAAATGATTTCCTCTCTCTCCTTTGCAGGCTTTCTTTGGCCACCAAGACACACACACACACACACACACACACACACACACACACACACTGACCTTTGAAATATGAAAATAAAAGTGCTCTGAAATCAAGCTGGCGGGAACAGCAGTCTGACTGTCATCATTTGGAGCCTGAAACAAGTGGGGCTATAGTTTGCAAGCTGTCTTCATAATTAGTTGAAGCAGTTGTCACTCTGGCTCTGGTTTGTTCATTACACCCCAAACAAACAGCTGATATTTGTTAAAGCACATAAGTCACTGTTGGTGCAGTGCTCTACATTGTGGGAAACCCTGCAGCTGCAAGTCACATGTAGTTCATAGTATTTTTTTTTAATTTCCATTGTTTTATTTGCTTGCATGCATTCCCTTTATAGCAATGCCCTTTTCCTGAAGAAAAAGAATCACAGTAGGGTAAACATTAACTAACAAGAAAGCTGGATGGGCTTAAGGTTTATGACCCAAATCTGGTTCTCATTAAACAACTATTTTTCCAGGGGTAAGGAATTCTTAGTAATAAGAAAGTCATTGCTGGAATTCAGAGCTTCTGAAATTCAGAGAAACTGCTGCCTCCTAGTTCATTGTGTTCCATTTCTCAACAGATTGATTTGGAAATTATTTGACAGAATCAGTTTGAGATGGGTTAGGCCAATTTTTCAAAGCTGAAACTAGGGTTTCTTTGCTTTAGATCCTTTCTTTACCCTAAGGCTAGGGGCAGACATTCAAAAAGCCCAAGCCTAAATTGATTCAATCTTTGCAGGTTAGTCTAATCTTCAGAGAGTAAGTCAGTTTCCAAGCGGATAGACATTCCCTTAGCATTCAGGAAATGCAGGCACATGCCTTCAGTGGCTCAAGACAGAAGTTGGGGGGCACTAGAACAGTCACAGGGAAGCTGTGCTGAGGAGGGGGGCTGTGGCCAGGCCTCAGCAGATGGGCCCCAGCAGCTCCCTGACAGCCGGGAGCCATCCGGGCACACAGGGCTGCTTGGCCCCAGAGGAGAACTCTTCCCTTTCTCCCTCTCCCTCTGCTATGGGCCCAGGAGAGGGGACCTGTTCAGTGCTGGGGGGGCTCTTCTCCCTTCTCTGCCTCCCCACCCCTCCCCGCCACCATGAGGTGAGGCTGCCTGGCCCCATAAGGGAATTCTTCCCCCTGTCCATGCGATGCTGCCCAGCCCTAGAGTGGGGAGAGGCAGGGGGAGGCTCTGTTCCATGCTGGGGGGAACTCTTTCCTCCCCTTCTTCGTTCAGAGGGGCAATGGGAACACAGAGCTTAGCTGGGCAAGGTGTGGGTGTGAGGGTGGGAGCTGTAGGGATCCCCCACCCACTCCTCCAATGGCATGCAGCCCCTGCTGCCTGGCAGCAGCATCGGGTGGGGAGGTCAGGGTGCTTGTGCCCAGCGCAGGCACAGCTCCAGCCAGTGCTGTGTGGGAGGAAGGAGGAGAGCCTGTCTTATCTCCTAGGCTCTTCTCCCCACACCTGCAGCTCCAGCACTTACAGTGGGGGAAGCCCCACACTGGAGCATGCTGCCTCCCCAGCTCCCTGCTGTGCAGGTCCCCACACTCTGCCAGGAGTGGAGGGAGCTCCACCCCCTGCTTCCCAGTGGAGTCCAGCACAGGGCTTGCCCTCCATGAGTGTGAAGTGATAGGCAAGCAGCACAGAGCCCCTGCAATAGAGGCAGCCAGCTCTGTGCTGGAGGCAGGGAGCACAGCCCTGTGCAGCCTGCCCAGCTATTTCTATCCCTGGGGCTCCATGCCATGTGCCTGCAGCTCCATGCTTGCAAAGGGGCAGAGCTAGCCCTGCTCTGGAGCAGAGAGCTCCGCTCAGCCCACAGAGCATGCCAAGATGTTGGGGGAGTCTGGTTTAATTTAAACCAGCAAGGGATCTGGGACAGACATTACATAAACCGGTTTGAGCCAAATCAGTTAAGTCTGATACTACATTCAACCAGGTTTAGCTCAAACCCTTTTCCGCCATTTTGAAACTGGTTTATGTGCAATGAATGTCTGTTCTATTACAGGTTTAAACCAGTTTCTGATCACTTAAACCAGTTTATGTGAAAGAGGTGTCCAGTGGGTATCCTGTTATATTCATAACTTAAAAACTAGGTGGCTGTATGTTTTCTTTTTGATGGGGTGCTCTGTGATCAGTTGGGAAGTGGTTTCCCTTTGTGTTCTTAGGTGGACAGGTCTCTCCTATTTTCTGACACAGCCTCCCAGAGCTGGAGACCAGGGTGTGATGAGAAAGATGCAGATGGTGATTTGTAAGGCAGCTGAGGCAGTTTCAAGTTCCCTTCTAGTACCACCGACTTCAAAGATGATCTGGCAAGATGTTCTGTTAATTCTGACAGAATAAATAGCCAAAAAGTAAAAGGTGGCCATGTGACCCTGTCACTGCCTAGCACTAAATAATTCAACATCATTTAGGATTTTGAGTACAGAGACTCTTGGTCTGCTTAGACTAACCATGAAAAAAAATACTAATAAAAAATCTTTTAACATTTTATTAAAGATACAGACATTTTTTTTAAACATGAAGTGTTAAGTAAAAGTTTTCATTTGAACAGTACCCTATTTTCCTGTACCTTGTAGCTATTGAGAGTTGTTATAGCAGAGGGAAATAAATACACACAGGAGAGGAGGGGAGTGGGGGAAATAAAATTAGAAAATGCAGCTGCTATCTCTAATGCTGACCCTCACTAGCAGAGGCACAGGGATGATAACAGTTTTGTCAGGCACACCCAGACTTGGTAATATCTATCAGGCTGTTTAAGACATTGCTTTTACTGTTTTTCTGGTCACAAGCCTGCATCAGTGTTGGAAGACATGGAACCTGGCCCAACTAGGACAGAATCGTATTAAACTGAAGGCAGAAAGATAGTGCTAGGAAAGAGACGGAAAGTACACTCATGGGAGGAGTGGCAGCAAAAATCAGAAGTCCCATATATTGAGTGTTGTTCGAAGCATAGTCAAAGCTGAAGGAATTGTAGACATCACCTGAATCCCTTTCTCTGGCCTGGTCTGATCAGAATGCATTTTAGGCTCAGAATAATGAAAACCCAGTGCTGGCACAGAGGACTCAAAGGATGGGAGCAGGGGAGGACAGCCAGTCTAGGTATGACTATACTGCTTTTGTGGGAGTGCCACTCTCAAGCATTGAGGACAAATTTCCAGTATGCCAAACTGAGTTCATTAATTCTCAGCCCCATTCTCCAGCTGTTTACCAGACAGAATCTTAACACAGTCCTTGGGCAGTATCCAAGGACTTGTTCTGTTTGGACTAGTCTTGTCTAACTTCTAGAAACAATTGTATATAATGGTCTTTGTTGGGTGTTTATTAACTTGCCAAATTTAGACTACAGGCTGCTGCACTGGGGCAGGCACCTTGGAAGGACACACAAAAGTGTTTGTGGGAGTTCTGCTCAGCACAACAGCCATTTGGCCCTATGTCCTCCTTCTCATACACTGCTGAAATTTTAATATGCAGTATGTGCCCTATGCCCCCTTTGCAGCATTTCTGGGAAATGCAGGAGTGTTTCATTTGCAGCAGCTGTAACAGTGACAAGAATGGCAGGCAAACTTATAGCACAATGGAGCCTTGTCTACACTGCAAAACTAGACCAGTGTTGACCTGGGCTAGCTGCAAGGAGAGACAAAGGGAAACTATTTTCTGTACCATATCCATAACAATCATTCAGCCTTAGCTGAAACAGAAGTAAATTCAGTCACTCTTTTTCTATACCTGCAGCTAAATCATATTCAACACAACTTCAGCTGCAACTACTCTGTTTTTGCAGTGATGGAACAATTTTGTAGCATGGACAAAGCTTCAAGGATCAAAATCTGGGGAGGTTCATTTCAAATGATCCTTTGAAATGAACTGCAAACTTAATTAACTGATCTCTATAGAGTACAAGCATCTACTGACATGTAGCCTATGCTACCTGTAGGTAGGAAAGGAAAGCATCTTTTAATAAACTTTTGCAAATTTAGGTTTCAGAGCAGAAGTTTATCATTGTATGTATCCCTGTGCTTTTTTGTCAGGAGCACACACAGGTATACCACTCAAAATGACAGCACTATGATTACAAGGTGCAAGATGACAAGCGAGGGGCTCTAAGATATATTCATGTCATTGTATCAACATGACATTAGATATTTCAATTTGGAACTATTGAAACAGGTTACAATCCAGATATAAAAGACCTAGGGCCTGATTCCCTGCTGCCTTAACCTTGTGCAGTCATTAATACTTGTGCAAAGAAAGTGGACAATTTGACTGAATTGGTGCTGAGCATTGAAAAAATATCAGGCACTTTATCTTTAAAGGTGCCAAAGGATTCCAATTAAGTATTTTGACAATAGGCAGGTGTTGTTTAACTACAGGAGTGTTATCTATTTGGACTGGGAGGCAGTTTTTATTATTATAGGCTAGCAGATCTCTCTCTTTTCAATAGAAGTCTTCTTTATTCCACCTCTGTGACAGAAATGTCTTTGTGACCAACATGAAAGTGTACTGTGTGCCTGTTTTCAGCAATGGAGAGTTAGGAGTAGCCATATATGGAGACAAATTTAAAAGCCTTTAATAAAACCATAATGCAGCTTGCATTTTTCAGTCCTAGGGCTTGCTTAACTGTAATACAAATTACATTCTTACAGGCAGATCTTGTAGAAAAGATATTTTAAAGGTGAGTTCTGCTTTCTTCACTTCCTGTACTCCCCCTCCTCGCCACTACTTCCAAAGCTTCTTTCTTTACTTAAATATTTTACAAAGACAAGCAGCATTCTTCTTCAATTTGAGCCCTTGTAACAGGACATTAGGGGAATGTGACAAGCCCATCATTCAAGGATGAGGGTTACACTAGTGCCTTGTTACTCCATTTTCATGACAAAGATTGCATCTGACATTTAATACCCAACATCTTTCAAGAAATATAGTGAAGTGCTCCACCATTTTGACCTTTCTTTCGCTCTTTATTTCTGATTGGCCTAACCATTGCACTCCTCCCTAGTTATTATAGCCTTATCAATCAATGAGAAAGAGATTACAGTCTATTGTGAAACAATACGCATTGCATTTTGATGTTTAAGACTTGTATGTGCTATATGTTAGCATTATTACAAATGGATCGTTGGAATCCAAAATATTTTCTTTAGTTTTTATTCCTCTCATCACAGGAAATTAAAATTAAAGACTGCATGGTCCACAAAAATAACTGCTGATGCTTTCTCTTCCATCTCTGCAGCCACAGCTGAAACACATACCAGAT